TGAGATCAGAGGTGAGAAAGTAATACCCCATACCTTGAAAGTAGGGGAATTATGTCTAACGTTCCCTCCCCAAGTCCTGTCATTTCCTATAGCACAGGACAATATTCCACAGTTAAGGAGAAAGTGTCAAGGATATGGGATTTGGGGTCTTCCAGGTGGGGGCCCAAGCCAAGTGGTCTAGTCCCAGCCCCTATCCAGGTGTGTTTCTTTCCTGCAAAGGAGAGGAAATGAGCACAGAGGTAATCAGTTCTCCAAATTCAACTGCTTGGGCCTGGTACACCTGCGTAAAGGTACAGGGAAATTCTCTGGGGTAGGAGTTTGAAACACATCATATATATGTATGTATATATATATACATATATATATATTCATTTCTGTTTATTATGAATTGGATCACAAATGCATATGCTTATTGATAGTTTTCATTTCTTCTTTTCATAATTTCCTTTTCATATCCTTCAACAAATTATCTATTGGATAAATGATTCTTGTACTTATGTATTTATATTAAATCCCTCTGTATCCTGAGATATAATATATGTAATATTGCATATTACAAATGGGATTCAAATTGTCATGGAGACCAGGTATAGGCCTTAAAATCCACATTGCAACACAGTCTTTCCTCCATCTTAACCTATGGAATATCTTTTAAAATTTTTTTTTAATTAATTCCAAATATCTTTAACAAGATTGAATACAGAAACAAGAACTCTAGTGTCCAATTGAAGATGAGGGTGAAGGCTTCAGGATTCCTTGGCCACTGCTAAGGGAGGTCTAAGATTGTGGAGAGGGAGAGGTAGGGATGGAAGGGGAGATCTGATCACTCTGGTACTGAAGTATTGAGGGATTTGGACTATACTAGGCTTTGTCAGCCTCTTCCCTAAAATTAATCTCTAGAGAAGTCCTCAAACTGCCCCCAACTTCTCAGGGGCCATTAGGACCAGTCAAATCTTCCTACATAGACTTCCTCTGGTCTTTCTCTATTGCTTGATTCTCATGCTATAAGAAGTAAAGGACAAATCCTTTGCATATTGACTTTTGGTGGTTGGGATGAAGAGAACAAAGGGTCCCAATGGTCAGTGCCTAAGCCAGAAGCCTAATCATCACATGACTCTGATAAATTGGTGTAGTTTCTGAGGTATATTCCCACAATACTCTAACTGTGGAATGGACACCCAGAGTTCTCATTGTTATTTCTGCCACTTTATGCCTTCTATGTGGGGTATGAGGAAGACCAAAATGGCTCAAGTGGAAATCAGGTTGCATGGCACCCTTTCTTCCCCCAAGGGAAAACTGAGATAAGGAGGGATGGTAGACTAGAAACTTGCTCTAGACTTGCATTCTATTCCAGTGGCAAGATGAAAACAGAAACTAGGAGCTCTAACTTCCAAGGACTCTACCCGTGACTGAATATAGAAGCAGAGACAGGACAATGACGGTCCATGACATTGCCCAGGGCCTCGCATGCGTGGCTCCTAAATTGACTATTGTCTTCCTTGCCTGAGCCATCGGACCCTAACACTATAGATTTGATAATTTTCATAACAGTCACATGAGGTACATAAGGCAGACATTACCCCTGTCTTACAGATGAGGAAATAAAGCCACGAAATACTGAGAAGACTTCTTTAAGATGATTCAGCTAGTTGGTGGTACTCATACATAGTACATAAGAAAAACACTTATAGTTACAAAATTCTAACTGCCCATTAGTACTACATACTAGTACAGTAGTATATTTCATGATTCAAATGATATCACTTCTATTCCAAAAAATCTTTCTAATCTGTGATGTACCACCCTCCCTTCATTCTTGACCTGAAATTAAGACCACAGAGCATATCCTCGAAAAAATCGAGAAACAATTATGAAAATAGGACCTTTTTACCCTTGTCATTAGCACAGATTATTTCAGCTGTTCTCTTAGTTTGGTGAGCCTGGTGCTGAGGGTGTGGGAAACAACCCATGTGGGTGTTCATAAAGCACAAAAATGGCTTTAGGGGCTGATTTTATTTATGTGCCTTGGGACAGTTGAAGGTTAACTGTGGGACACAATTGGGGAACTGAATCTGAGGACCTCAGCAAGCCTTCTTTTCCTGTAAGCCTCCTCTGGCCATTTATGAAAGGCAGCTGGTAACCTGGCTTGATGTTGCAAACCTGTAATCCCTAGTTGCTAGCTGGCCTAGTGAAAAGAGAGCTAGTATCTCAGTCAGGGAGACTTGGACTCAAATCTGGCTTCTGCAAAATCCCTGTGTGTCCCTGGGCAAGTTACTTAACTTATCAGTGCCTCTGGGCAAGAAATTGCAGAGAGAGGGTATTGATCTATATTGTAGCAGAAATTACTCATTGGAGTTCTCTAAACTGCTGAAATCAGAGGTCTAGTAAAAGAAAAAAAATCTTAATTTCTTCCTTCACCTTTCTCACATTCTAGCTTATATGATATTTGTGGCCATGGGTTTTCTCTTAAATGAGACCTTATGGTTTATTTTCCTTGGGATTTATATATGTGAACTACTCAGATTCCATAAGAGAGGGAGATTAAACTTCTACTACACTATGCTCCTAACAATGGAATCAGGACTTATTAGCTATGCATAAATGTGGGTGGGAGGCAGCATGGCCTAGTGGATACAGAACTGGCCCCTAAAAGCCAGGAAGACCTAAGTTAAAGTTCTGCCTCTAACACACTGGCTGTGTGATCCTGGGCAAGTCACATAATGAAGGAAGGAAACAAGCATTTATTAAATGCCTGCTCTGTGACAGGCATGGTGCTAAGGGCTCTACAAATATGACCTCATTTTATCCTCACAACAACCTTTGGAAGTAGGTGTTTTTATTATGCTCCTCTTATAGATAAGGAAATGAGGTGTTGAGTGACTCGCCTACCATCACACAGTTAATAAGTATCTAAGGCCAGATTTGGACTCAGGACTTCTTATGTCCAGGTCTAGTCCTCTAACCATTGCTGCTTCTTAGTATTCCAATTAACGCTCTAAGATTATAAATTAAAGAGAACATGCTGACCTGACTGGTAGAGAGCATTAGAGGGTTTCTTCATCTAGGAGTTTCCTATATCAATGAAATCACAGGTTCAAATCCCTTACCTTATAAATGTGTATGTGTGTGAATGTGTAGGTAGCACTTATAGTTACAAAATTCTAAAATGCAATGTTATAACCTTATATGCAAAATAAGGAGTTATAAGGACCGTAAGTCAGATATTATGAAATTGTGCCAGTCACAGCATTATACATACAACATTTCACAACAGAATCAGCTCTGTCCTTTTCCTGTACAAATCAACCTAATTCTGAGGGCTCTTTAATACTGCATTAAGGCCTAGAACTAGTATGTTGGAATTGGAGTTAGGAAGATCTGGGTTCTAATATGTTTCTGATACTTACCAGTTATGTAACCGTGTGTGACTTCTCATAGTCTCAGTTTCCTCCATGTGTAACATCCACCTACTTCACAGGATTGTTGTCTCAAACGAGATAAAGCATATAAAACATTCAACTTTAAAATGTCATATAATTCCCAGATATTACTGTCCTACCATTGGGAAGTTTCTTTTGTTTTCTGAAGGCTCCCAACAAGAAAATGGAATAGGAAAGCTAGTTCGTATGGTGAAAATTCTATTGAAACTCAGGAATTGACTCATTTTTCAAAATATTAGTTAAATAATGTTCTTACCTATTCAGATGGGCATTAGCTATATACAGCTTCTTTCAAGGCCTGAAATACAATGAGCCTCAACTCACCTTATTCCCATATTTTTTGTTATGGAAAAATAATCCAGTTGTCCTCAAGATTTTCTCCAGAAGTAGAGAATAAATAAGAGTAACTAAACAGGTTTGGCTCTTCCATGAGTTTTTGGGTGGCTCTGAGAAGAGCCTTTGGTTAGGAAGATTCAGTCCTTAGGGAAGACTGATTTCTTTAATTCTGTTTAATCCTCATTCTGCTTGTCTATTGCTTTTTCCCTCTTCTCAGGCTTGCAATCTTCTTCAGGGGCCGCAGATTTCCTATTTCCAGGACCCTTCTTGGGCCCTGAGCACTTTCCCCTTTTCAGGTTTCCTTTTCTTCCTGGCTTGGCAGTCTTGGCAACTCCAACTCTGTTCTGAGAGGAAACTTCACACTCAGTGACCTGTAGCTGGGCTCCTGAGCTGACAATGCTTTTGACCTCTCTGTTGATATGGCTGTGGTCGCTCATATGACCATTCTCCATTCCCAGCTCAGTTTTGAGGACAGCCAGAGAAGCCTCCTTACGAATCCTGAAGCCATTGGTAACCCCAAAGATGCAACTGGATAGCCTCAATCTGCCAAGGCTGAAGACTCTTCTTGACTTGTGGGCAGCTCTGCTCTTTCCGCGAGGCATCTTTCCAAACGCCTGCTCCCAGAAGTTGCCTCTCACTTTCATAACCTCCACCTCTTTATAGTCGCTAAACCGACGGCACAGAATCAATCCTCAGGCGAAGGGAGCCCGACCTCACAGAATCAATCAATGACAATTCACTTATGCACTATTTGTGTGTTTCTTTAGTGTCTTCTCGGGGGCTTTTCACCCCAGCCAGAGAACCTCCAGTTCCAGGCTTGAGACGGATATTCAGCTTGATATTCGAGGGTCTCATTTCACTTTTTCAACATGAGGAAAATCATTTGAATTTCCCCAGAAAGCCAATTTTGAGCCAAGAGGGCTTGAAAAAAGAAAGCAAATCTCTGCTTATTCTGATTTTTTGCCGCTTTCTTGAACGCCTTTCATCCTAACCCTTCGGGAAGTCAAAGATGCAGAGGTCCTGGATTTGGGGACACTAAAAGGGGGTCGTAAGAAACCCCGAGGAGGGTGCTAAGAGCCTCGGGAGAAACCGAAAAAGCACAACTAAAGCGGCCTCGCTGAGCTGCCAGACAAGCTGGCCGGCGCGAGCGGATTGGTTCTGCTACGTCGAGCTGGGGCCTATATAAGGGGCTCGGCCTCCGCCGCCACAATTTAAAGAAGAGGACGCGGGCAAGCAGTTGGTTTGGACGACGACGTTCTCCAATCCTGGTAAATCGTAAGTGTGAACACTTCCACCGAGATCGCGCCCGAAACTGAAATCAGAAGGGATCTCAAGAGCTAAAGTTGCAGGAGGAACCTGAGATGCCAGCGGGCCTTTCCCAGTCTTCAGAATTGCTTAAGGCAACTTCTTTCATGTTGGCTGTCCTGGCGAATGCAGCACCTATAAGAGGCAATCGGGATCTGTTCCCCAATAAATTTGAAATTACTGTAGCAGCCTCCTAACCCCGTATCTTATAAGGCTTTGTCTCTGGAAATTCTCCATAATGAGTTTTTGAGGAACCAGCCTGGCCTCAAAAAGAACCCCTAGAAACTCTTCTCATTTCTAGGGCTGATAATCCAAGACATGGGTTCTGGAATATTTTACTCCTTCCAGATTCATAAACGTGCAAGGTCAGGACACAGCGTGACAAACAACATTCAGAAAAGGTCGCCCAGAGAAAGTCATCTGGGAAACTTTACTGCAGCAGGCAAGAGCATTCTAGCCCAAAAAAGGTTTTTAAGTTCGGAAAGCAGTGAATAAAATAAAAAATAAAATGAAAAAAAAATCTTAAAACACTCAAAGTTTTCAACAGCAACAGCTCTTTTGAGAAAAGGAAAGATCTTTTACAGAATTTCAAAAAAGTCCCATAGGATACCAATTGGACCCAAGTAAAGGTGACATACACTTTGCTAGGTGCTGGAGACAGTAACAATGAAAACAATTTGGAATTATGCTTCCAAAACTCTTTTAATTCTTCATACCCTTTAACTCAGTGACACCACTACTACACATATAAAGGGAACAAAGAGTAAAAGGTGCCATATGTCCAAAAACATTTGGTAGCAGTGCTTTTTTATAGTGGCAAAGAAATGGAAGCTAAGTGATTGATTGCCTATCCTTTGGGGAAGTGGCTTGTCAAATTATGGTATAGGAATGTAGTGAAATACTATTGTGCTACAAAAGATAAGAATATCAGAGGAACCTGGGAAGACTTGTAGAGTTGATGCAAAATGAAGTGAGCAGAAGCTCGTTCATTCTCTTGAACAATTTATACTAACATCAATATTGTAAAATGAACAATTTAAAAAATTTAAGCACTCTGATCAATATAATGATCAAGTAGATTCTAGAGTATCAAAGATGAAGAATGTTACCTCCTTGATGATAGGTGATGGAGTAACAATAGTGAGACAAACATTCTCGGACATGGCCAACATGAGATTTACTTTGATTATTCTTATTTGTTATAAGGGTTTTGTATTATTTGTATTATTTGTATTTTTTAATATATTTTTATTTTTTTCTGGGGGGTGGGGTAAGAGGGGGGGGAAAGTTCTTCCTAAGTGAAAAATATATATATTTTTAAATATCCCCTTCCAAAAAAGAGGAGGGAGGGAAGAAAGGAATGAAGAAAGGAAGACAGGGAAAAAACAAAGGATGAAAGAAGGAAGGTAAAGAAAGCAAGGAGAGGGGAAAAGAAGGAAAGATGAAGGGAGGGAAGAAAAAAGGCAAAAAGAAGGAAAGAAGGGAAGAAGAAAGGGAGGAAAGAAGAAAAAAGGAGGGAGTGGGAAACATGAATGGGAGTTTAAAAAGAAAGGAAAAAATCAGTAATCAAGAGCAGAATAAGGGGAAGAGATGAAGAGTGACAGAAGAAACATTGCATAATTTATAGATTGAGTGTTGGACAAATTTGCTCTACTTTATCACCTTATTTCTAAAGGGGGAAGGGAATATGTGGGGGCAAAAAGAGGAAAAATTCCCTCTTTTATGTATGTAAAAGAGAGGAAAAAGTACAAGAGGACAGGATGGAGGAAATCATAACCCATAACAATGAACATGAATGGAATGAATTCACTCATAAAATAAAATAAGAGCAGAATAGTTTAGAAGGCAGAATTCAAGACTATATAGTATACAAGAAACACATGAAACATAAAAATTCAAATGGAACTCAAAGGGTTAAAACAATCTATTTTGCTTCAAATGAACTCAAAAAGAAAAGATAGCCATCATTATTTCAGACAAGCCTACAGTAAACATAGACATGAAGAGAGAAGGAAGGAAACCACATCTTATGTAAAGGCATCATAGATAATGAATCAATATCAATAGTAAATATATGCCCTGAAAAGAAAAGCATCTAAATGCTTAAAGAAAAAGTTAAATTATGGGGAGAAATATATATTAAAAACATAATAGGGGAGCTGAATAGAACTTTAGATAAATTAGAAATGATGAATCTCTGGGATTGTGGAATAGGAATAGAAAGGTGTTTAATAGGAACTTCCGAAAAGCAGCTTTAGTTGTGCATGGCACCTTTGCAGAAATTAATCATGTTATAAGGCATAAAAAACCCTCACCAAAAGTACAGAATAAAAGAAATACTAAACCCCTAATTTAATTCAGTAAGTTTTATATTAAATAGACTTTGAAGAAAGAATTAAAATTAGAGAGTAAATAACTTAATCCTAGAAAATTTCATGAAAGAAAGTGACAATAAGACAATATAACAATATTTAGGGGATATAGCTAAAGTAGTCCTGAGGGGAAAATTTACATATCCAAACCCTTTCATTTAAGAAAAGAACAAATCAATAAATTGGGCATGCTATTTAAAAACAACAACAACAACAACAACTTAGAATAACAATAAAAAACCCAAGTAAACAAAATAGAAGTTCTGAAAATAGAGATTAATAAAATTGAAAGCAGAAAAAAACTCATTGAATTAATAAATAAAACTAGCAATAAACAGATTAAAATCTAATCTGACTTTAAAGAAAGTGAAATTGTTCATATAAAAATGAAAAAGGAGAATTCCAACATAAAAAAAATAAAAAAGTATCAGAAGCTATTTTGCCCCCATTTATGTCAATAGAACTGTTAACTTACAAGAAATGGGTAAATACATAAAAAATATGATAGTCATGTTAACAAAAGAAGAAATAGACTGTTTAAATAATCTAATGTTAGAATAAGAAATTGAACAAACCATAAATGAACTCTCAAAGAAGAAACTCCAGGACCAGATGGATTTACAGATGAATTCTATTAAACATTCAAAGAATAATCAATGCCAATATTACACAAAATGTTTGTAAAAACAAGAAAAGAAGGGAACAGTCTTGACTGCTAAAATGAAGAAACTAAGAAAAGAAAGAAAACTAAAGACCAATATCACTAATAAATATTGCTGCAATTTTTTAAAAGTTAGCAAATATTCTAAACATTTTAAAATATTTTAAAAAGAGTATACACTATGACCACATTAGATTTATCCAGAAATACAGAGTTTGTTCAGTATAAGGAAGACTAGAGATATGTTTGGATTTGTCCTTCCAAGTAAGTTATATAGAATATGCAATGACATTCCCTGCCTAGATCCAGTCCAAATTGTGGAATAGTTCTTGTTCTTATGTATTTGAATTAATTCCCTTTTATGTTTGATATCAAAGTTTTATCAGAGAAATTTGCCACAAAGATTTTTCCCAGTTAACTTTTTTTCTTCTAAACCTCAGTACATTGATTTTGTTTGTGCAGAAACTTTTCAATTTTATGTCATCGAAATTGTCCATTTTACCTCCTGTGATGTTCTCTATCCTTTGGTTGAGAGCTCTCACCCTATCCATAGCTGTGAAAGGCATCTCTCCTTCTCTGCTCCTTTAATTTATGATATGACCTTTTACATCTTGGTAATGTATCCATTTAATGTTTATTGTGGAATATGGCGTGAGATTTTGGTCTAAATTTAATTTCTGCCAGCTGATTTCCACTTTTGCCAGCATTTTTTGTTGATTTGTTAATTCTTACCCCAGTACATGGAGTCTTTGGTATTGTTATAGTACTGTTTTATTTGCTTCTGGGTCTTATGTTCCAAATCTGTTCTATTGATCAACTTTTCTGTTTGTTTGTTTTTTTAACCATTTTCAAACCATATTGATGAACACTGCTTTGTACTATAGTTTGAAATCTGATACTACTAAGTCATCTTCCTATTTTTTATTATCTTACTTAAGATTCTTGACCTTTTGTTTCTCCTCCAGATGAGTTTTGTTCTTATTTTTTCTAGTTTTATAAAGTAACTCTTGGGTGGTTTTTTATGTCACTAAAGCTATAAATTAATTTGAGTATCATCATTTTTATTATGTCAGCACTTTTGTTAGTCATGTCTGACTCCTCATGACAAATATCTTGACAAAGATACCAGAGTGGTTTGCCATTTTCTTCTCCGGTGAGTAAGACAAACAGAGGTTAAGTAACTTGCCCAGGGTCACATAATTGGTAAGTGTCTGAGACCAGATTTGACTTCAGATCTTCCTTACTCAAGGCCCAGCACTCTATTCACTGAGCCATCTAGCTGTCTCAATATTAGCACTACCAGAACATAAACAATTAATATCTCTACAATTATTTAAGTCTTCTGTAAAAAGTGTTTGGTAGTTGTATATATAGTCTTGGGTGTGTGGACTCCCAGCAGTGATTCTGTGTGTTGAGTTCTACTTTCAGTGCATAGATTAAGAATATGTAAATCTTTCCACTGTAACATCTTAATGGGACTCTCAGTGCTGAGTAAGAGCCAAACCATGTTAGAGCCATAATATCTGGGGAAAGTTATGATTTTCTTGATGACTTGCTATCCTTCATTCTTTTTTTCAAATTATATTTTATATTTTCCAATTACATGTAAAGACAATTTTAACATTCTTTTTTAAATAAAATTTTGAATTCCAAATGTTTCTCCCTTCCCTTCCCCTTACCTAAAATGGTAAGTAATTTGATATAGGTTATATATGTGCAATCATGTAAAACATATTTCTAAATTAGTCACATTATGAAAGAAGACATAGTTTGCAAAATAATTACAGTTTGCAAAAGGAAAAAAAACATGAAAAAAAATAAAGTGAAAATAGTGTGTTTTGATCTGCATTCAAACTCCATCAGCTCTTTCTCTGGAGATAGACAGCATTTTATATCATGAGTCTTTTGGAATTGGCTTGGATCATTGTATTGCTGAGAAGAGCTAAATCATTGCACAATGTTACTGTGTATAATGGTCTCCTGGTTCTGCTCACTTCACTTAGCATCAGTTCATATAAGTCTTTCTAGGTTTTTCTGAAATTGCCTGCTTGTCTTTTCTTATAGCATAATGGCATTCCATCCATTCATATGCTACAACTTGTTTAGTCATTCCCCTATTGATGGGCATCTTCTTAATTTCAAATTCTTTGCCACCACAAAAAGAGCTGCTACAAATATTTCTGTGCATGTAGGTCCTTTCCCTCCACTTCCTTTTTTTTTTTAAACAATCTCTTTGGGATACAGACCTAGTAGTTATCCTTCACTCTTTATAGGATCAGAGATTTAGAACAACTAGAAGAAACCTTAAAGATCTTCTAGTCCAAAGTCCTCATTTTGCAGATGATACATTCTCCCTCATTCTCCCCCTAAATCCCATCATTCATTAATCTTTACTTCTTCAACTGATGAAAGAAGATAGGTAGCCCAGGAGTCAAGGACTTGCTAACCCAGCCCTAGATCTTAGAGGCATAGTACAGTGGATAGAGCACTGACTTTGGAGTCAGAG